GAACACAAGTCATTCCTGTCGTTCATGGGGGGCTCATTCTGAGATGTCCCAGGAAACGCTGGTTTATTAGCCTGGTCCCTGAAGGTACAGAAAAATCAATAAAATGTGTTTGCTTTTTTTATAGGCTGTAATTCTAACGTCTCCCTAATTTAGTCTAGCCTTTCTCTTCCCCAAATCCTAGGTGCTCCTGTTGGCGTGGGAACACTGAAGAGAGTCACACTCTATTCAATAAATACACAGATATTGCTTCCTTAACTCTATTGGAACAATACAGCAATGACGGACTGTGCCCAGGACCAAGTCACGGTGCTGTTCTTCTAAAGCGAAACTCAAGGAGAAAAGTACGTCCAATATTATGCCCCACACTCTCCAACCGGGCTCCTGTGATATAGACTCCCCCAACTGGGGGAGCCACACCAAAGCCCAACCTTTAAAACCAGAATAAAATGAAATTGCTCTACAAGTAACTCCCAGCCACCCCTAGCCCTCGCTGCGTGTCTGAGAGCAAGTCTTAGTTCTGTGTCTGTGCTCACAGCTGAGAAATTTCCCTTGCTTTACCTCTCCTTTCCAGAGGTACTCTAGGATCAGCTTCAGGTCCGTTACCTTCCGTATTCTTAAACACTACACGGATGTGAAGGTACAAATAGGTCTGGCTGACTCTGGGTGAAGAAGCCTGTGGCTCTGCCATGGATTTACCGTGAGGTGATGTGACAGCAGGTAGCAGTGAGCTCAGCCAAAAGTGCAACTGCCAGACTCTCACACACTGCCATAACATCTGCAAACGGTGGTGCAGCAGCAGGCCTTTCTTCCCTCATCCCTACCTCCTACCACTTCCTCTTCTCACACCTGACTAGACCCTCGCAGCCCACTGTTCCCACACACACCACCTTCCACAGCACATAGCTCCGTGCCCTCAGAACAGCTGGCTTGTGATTAAAATGGACCGCACTAGGAAGTGCCAGAGAGCAGAGCCTATTGTATCAGATTTCCTCGGCCTTTTATAGACACACCATGAACCTTGAGAATGCGATGTGGCGGCCTGAGACCCTGGAGGCCTGTGTTCTAATGGGGTTCAGTCACTCATGGGCGAAAGCAACCACTTGGCTCTCAGGACCCAACAGTGAAAAAAGAAGTGTGTGGCCCAGGGTCTGGCTAAGATCTCTGAGCTCTGACTTAACTCTAAATAGCTGAAAGTTCTCTGATGCTACTGTCAGAGAAATGGGGAATCCTACCAGCTGCTGGTCCACCTAAGCCTTTATGAGGATCCCTCAAGCCTTTTCGTTTGCTTACTCAATCGCTCCTCATTTATTTACTTATTTAATTTTAAGACAAGGTCTCACATAGTCCAGGCTGGCCTACAAACCTACTGTGTAGCCAACAATGACCTTGAACTCCTAACTGAATTCCTAATCCTCCTTCCACACTCTCCCAAATGAAGGGATTACAGGGGTGAACTCCAATTCCTTTCTTTTGCTCAGACACAGAAGCAGTTCCTGACATTATCAAAATAACCAAAGATTATTATTAGCAATATCAAAATCCTTTTAAGGTTTGGACAGACACCAGGCAGAGGCAGTAGGGTAACCTTATTAAATGAGGTGTGATTTGTGAGGAGAGAGGAAGGGCTACTCACCTCCTCCATACCTCACCTGGAGTCAGCAAACATGACAGAAATGATTCTGTACCAGCTACCAGGTGAGAAACTATGGTACCAAAATCACCCTTGTTAACCCGAAGGAGTATGAGACATCTAGACAGTCTCCCCAAAAACATTTTTTTTATTAGAATTTCATTCTATCAATAAATGTGACCTGTTAAGGAAAACAGGAAAAGAAGGGCCTTGGGTCATCATGCCACTAGCTTTTTGTGTGCAGGATCACCTCAGTCAAGGTAAGTTCTGTGCCAAGCCTTGCAAAAGGCCTGTGTCTGCTGGGCCACAACCACTTTTTGCTGTAACTTGGATGAATTTAAGACTGAACAGGTGACTTGAAGTGAAGGCTGATGCTGGAAAAGCCCGACGATTCTCCTTTGTTCTGTGGCTAGCCCAATCTTCTGGGGGGGAAAAAATCTGATTTCTTCTACAGAGATGATCAACCAACCCTAAGCAGTGAGGAACTGAGCAGAATGCCACAACACTTACAGAAGGGCTGCTACAGAGAATAAACAAGGCTCTGTGTTACTCTGGCTGACCCCAGGCCTCGTGGGGGGAAGCTTCTCTCTTCTACAGTAAAAACGTCTGACATTAACTCCTCTAGGTAAAGGAAAGCCCTGCCTAAGTGCAAAGACACACAAGGCCCTTCTCCAGCCACCTCACATTCAAGTGATCTTTACAGAGGTGTCACTGATTGACCAATTCAGAAACTTTCACCTTGGAAACTCCACCCAAATCTGACTCTGGTCTTTCCTAGCAGAACAGACAGGGCTCAAAAGTAAACAAAGTACTTCCCCCCTGTGGCTGCCTCTGGCCAGGCTCCTGTGGCCTCCATCTCACCAGCTGCTGAGGAATTTACTGCCTACTGACCAGCTGTTTGTGCTGCAGGAGAGCAGATAGGGAAGGTTTCAGGAGGAGTGAGAGAAACCCCTCCTCAGCCTTCCTGCCCTCAGCTCATCCTTCAGATGCTCACTTGCACTCCAAGGAAAAGTTTGTCGGTTACTGGGCTTAAGTAAACCCTGAGAAGCAAGCAACTTGCTTGGGGCTTGCTGGAGAACACTTTTTTCTCTCCCGCTTTACCACATCCCAAGAACTAAACGAAGCACACATTTTTCAGATGACCTGAACTAATCCTGGTCCGTGATCTCCACGGCCTATTATTGGACATGAAAAACTCAAGCAACTCCATGGAGAGAGAGTCTTCACGCACACACGCCTAAAATCATTCACAGACCAGCTCTACCAATAACAATCCAAAACAAAAATGTTACTCACATAGGTGGGGAAGAATAATAAATACATTTGAATGACAAAGTACACACTGATAAACTAAAAAATAAATAAGGCACCCATCTTTTGGAAGGGCTGTATGTTACAGTACAAAACCAGAGTTCAGCTATCCCACACAGTACAAGGCTCTGGGTTCCATTCCCAGGACCAAAGTCAAAAAATGAATAGATAAATAAACAACCTAAGACAATAAGGGGGGAAAAATGACAGCACAAATTGCACACAACTTCCGTATCACATTTGAGAACATGTTTTGTTGGGCTTTGGCTCCTTACGTGTGTTAGCCCTTCCTTCCATCGGGGTGCCATGAAATAAGCCGTTCACCAGAGGTACCCCTGCTTCCGGCAGACAGCCACTAGCCCATCACAAGAGCAGGAGTGCAGGCACATTAGAAGAGGTATGAGAAGTCACAGGACGGACTGTGATGTGTTATTTTCAATCCGAAGCTATTGTGCTAGCGTTGGTCCAGATTTTTCTGTTGTCAGGTTTACTGCCATCGAGCCAAATATAATTTACTGACCTAAGACCCTGTTATTTAGTTACCTCTGTTTTTGTTATGAAGTGTGAGGTAAATTCGATTATCTATAAAACAATATTTTCCTGAACTCAACAAAGAATCTAATTTATATTGCCAAGGGAACTGGTTTTGAAGTATCACTGTATCCTAAATTCTTTAGTGAGGCACTCATTGCTCCAAAGCCTACCCCAGATATGCACAAACACAAAAGCCCAAAAGTTCCTCTGGGCTCTTCCGTGAGGCTCAAAACAAAGACACCTTCTGAGTCCCCATGAGCCTCACTTCAAACCCATGACCATCATTCCTGATAAAAAACACTAAGGTCTGATTCTAATCACGAAAACCTAGTAAACCAGTGTGACAAAGTACCTTTCCCTCACATAGATCCTAGATGAAATGCTGTCAAAACAGTAAAGATTTTCCTAACTCCCATTGTTTCTGTAACATCCATCCAAGGGACACCTATTAAATAAATAGGCCAAGCCAGAAGAAAACTTGAAACTTCAGCCCTGCACAGGGAGCAGAAAGCTTGCCTCCCGGTAGCTGGCAGAACCTTGAAATAAAGTACAGAATCAACCGCAGCATGGGAAAAACAACTGGGGGAGACAGACAAATCATCCTGCCTCCCAACGGTGGCAAACTTCACAACAACTTTTTAAAAGCAACAAACTACAGCACCGTAGCCTATATAAGCAGACTGTATATACACACGCACACATGACTACCTACAAGGCAAGGGCTGTTTGCAAATATTGCTCCTGAACTTACAACAGGCCAGAGAGCCCTGAGACTGCAGCTTCTCAGCACGGGCTCTGCACTGTCAGGGAAGGTCATTTTGCCCAGCCACTTCTCTTCCACCCTGCATCACAGGAGTTTTCTACTTTCAGATTGCTCAACTTTCAGATGCACTAGAGTAAAACAACTATTCAGCAACTTTATTCACCTTGGTTTAATTTTTTTTTTTTTCATTGTGCAATGCCCAGGAAAAGCTGACACCAAGACTGTCCTAGAGCGCAATCACAATCAGAAAAGGTAAAAACCTCTTATGTGATAGAACCCAGAGTGGAGAGAGAGAGATACGGAGAGACTCTCCTAGTGAGGGCCCTAGAACTTTTTCCCTAGGGAGACCACCCCTCGGGAACAAAAGTTACAGTTTAGTCACATGTTAGGCGTAGGAATAAGAAGGTTTTTTTTTTTTTCCTCATTTTTAAGCGCACTAATTACGGAGGTGTTCTACAGATCTGAAGGCAACCCGGGTTCCTCCTACCAACTGAGAGCGGCATTACATTGTCAAAAAGGAGACTGGGGTGGGGGGCCCAGGAGCCCAGGAGGGACTCGGCGGGAGAGGGGTGTAGCAAGGTTACGCTAAAGGGTACCGCCGCTGCTGCGAGCGACCCGCATCTCTTTCCCTCGCGCCCCAAATAATTCCCCCGCGAGCCTAGGCAACTGCACCAGCAGCCCCGGGGCGAGGGGGTTCCGATCGCCCAGGTGGGAGGGGGGGAGGGAGTGGAGGGGGGAGAAGGAGGGGAACCGGATCGTTACCTTAATGCTACACTGAGCAGGAGTCTCAGACATGTCTCACAGCGAGAGGGATCAGGAAGTTCTCAGTTTTTTTCCACTTTCCTTTCCTCTCCCCAACCCAGAAACGCTCGGCGGGGCAGCAGCGGGACGCGGTCATTTAAGAAGTTTCTTGCAGCATCGCCGGCGGCGGCCGCCCCGAGGTTGGGGGGGGTGGGTGGATGGGGGCGGGGGGGACGGGGTGGTCCCCGGGACGCGCGGGTCGGGCGCGCGGCGCGGGGGCGTGGGAGCCGGCGGGCGCGGCGTGGGGTGTGCGGGTCGCGGCGCGGCGACCCGGGCGCAGCCGGCCGTCCTCGTGTCTCCTCCCACCCGCGGCCGGCGCGCCCGCCCCCGCCCCCCCCCCTCGCCCGCTCGCTCGCTCGCTGGCTCGCTCCCCCCCTCCCTCCCGCCCTCCCTCTCTCCCTCCCTCTCTCTCTCTCTCGAATGTTTTCCTTCCTGGAAGAGAGAAACCGAAAGGCAGAACTGAGAAGGCTCCCGGCTCTCATTGATCTTGAGAGTTTCGGGGCCGAAACTGACGTGAATTCCCAGCACCCGGGCTCTGCCTCTTAAAGGAGCCACCAGGAAATGAAAGCTCGGGTTACCGCGGGCCGCGGGGGGAGAGGGCGCGCGGGGGAGGGGCGCGGGCCGCCCCGGGAGGACGCCCCGAGGAGGACGCCTTTCGGGGGCCCCCGGCGAGCGGCCGCGCCTCCGGGGTCCGGCGGGGGGGGGGGGCCCGGGCCCCGCCCCCGGGGGGGGCTTCGGGGGGGGCCCCCCGGGGCGCGGCGGCGGCGGCGAGCGCGCGGTCCGGGAAGGGGGCCCTTCCGGGAAGGACGCGGCGCCGCAGGAGGAAGCGAGACAATGGCCTTTGTTCGGCGCGCCGGCCGCGGCCGCTTTAAGAGAATCCACCAGGAAATGGGAGCTCGGGTTACAGGCTGCGCGCGGGGAAGTGCGGGGCGCGACGCCCGAGACAAAGCCGCGGGGCCGCGCTCGGGGCCCGGGGCCTGGTGGGGCGGGGGCGCCCCTCGGCCTGACCTCCCGCCTTCCCCGGTTCGAAATCCCCCGGCCGTTTAAAGCCACGGCGGCCGCTACCAACCGACGGAGGTGACGGGACTACAAAGTTGACAGGGCGCGTTCCCGCAGGTCTTAGCCCTCCCCCGGGCCGCCGCTCGGCCGCGGTCATTGGCGGAGGGGACGGCCCCCGGGGGTCCCGCGGAGGAGGGGCAGCCCGGGTCCCCGGGGCCGGGGCGCTCGCCCGGAGCACCCGCGTTCTGATCACTCTCTTTTCATCGGTCTGTATAACCTCCTAAAATGCCCACTGCAGAAGACGGGTGTTTGAAAGCCTAACCCGCTGTTACACACGAGGTGTGACGTGTGGGTCTACCGTACGAGGAACTAAATGCGCGTTCACGTCGTCTTTTGACGGTAAAATAAACATAAATGCACGTGTGTGCAAAATGCATTCTATTCGTGCTGAAGACCAGTCGGAATTTCCAGACTCACCTCTTGTTTTCCCGCTGGTTTCTTGGGGCGCGGGGAAGACAGCAGGATTGTTCTGAAGCAGGGTTTCCCAGGGTAGCCCTGACTGGCCTGGAACTCACTCTAGTAAGCCATTCTGACTTTTTTTTTTTTTTTCCTGTACACTGTTTAGCGTCACAAAAGGTTCTCAGACTTTCACAAAGAAAACTCACGCACTCATCAAAAGACTCTAAACGACACTTGTTAGAAGGGCTGAGGTGGGAAAGCACTTCCTTTGCGGATAAAATAGGAACGGGTGTTTTAGGAACTTCCAGATACCACAACCAATTTCTTCAGCTAGCAGTCATGTTCCCCAGAGAATTTAGTCATGTGTACACTAGCTCCCAAACCCCCTCATCTACCCATTCTTATCCCTCACAAATACCTACCTTTTCTCTTGTGGTTTTGTAGCTTTTTGTTGTTGCTTTTTATTGGGAATTTTTGTTGGGTTTGGGTGTTTGCTTGCTTGCTTGCTATGAGGCAAGATCTCACAAAGTAGATCAGACTGGCCTTGAATTCAAATCCAGCTGCCTCAGGAGTGCTAGGATTAAAGGCGTGTACCACCACACCCAGTTTTTAGCTGCTTCTTGAGCTTGTAGTCCAGGTTAGCCTTGACTTGAAGCAGAGAATTACCCTGAACTTTTGATTCAGCCTCCCAGGAATGACAAGCTTGGGCCACTCTGCATGATTCATCTTTGTTCCTTTGGGGGAGGGGGGCCTTTAAACATTCACTTGCTTGTTTTTTGTTTGTTTGTAGCCCTGGAGAGTGAAACCAGACCTCCTCATACTTTCTAGGCTAGTGCTCTACCCCTGAGCTCCATCCCCAGCCAAACATTTTTTGTTTTTCCTTTGCTTCTCCTAACTGACATTTGCAGACACTGGATCTGATGGGCTTTTGCTCAGTTTAGTCTTAGGCACCCTTCTGTCACTTACTTATCAGCAGAATCTCTGACAACTTCTCAGCTCCTATGAGATGGGAAGGAGTAAGTCCTCATTAATAAGACTCATTCATAAATAGGAGGATGTTCCCAGTGGTCTTTCCTTTATTCTTGGAAAATATATACCAAGAGGCCCAAAAATATATACCAATATATATCTAAAGCCAGACACTACACACAGACACACACACACACAGTTTTATACATATATACAATAAAGTTTCACTTATAAACTGGGCACAGTAAGAGACGAAGTATAATTAATAATAAATGAGAACAATTATATCATACTGTAATAAAAACTAATAAAACAAATTACTGTATCTGAAAATGTCCATGTCTGTGGCTGTGAATAACTCAGGAACTGGGGAAGGGCAGCCTGTGGGTATCCGAAACTTCTCTGCAAAGAGTTTCTACAGCAAAACATTCCATATCATATGTGCTAATTGGTGTTAGCTATGATGATTGCTTGACCTTGTGCCTGAATTCACTTCCAACGTCCGTTCCTGACATGTCTTGACCTTCCCCGGATGATTAATAGAGGTGGCAGTTTGAGGTGGAATGTCTGTGGTTCCAAAGCAAAGTACACAGAAGCAGCTACAGCAAAAGCTGCCTTTAGGCCTCTGTTGACAGGCTCTGCAAAAGGCCTTTTAGTAAATACTTTAGGGTGTGTGAGCCGCAAGCAAAACTGAGGAAGGACTTTGTGTAAATACCTATATAATCAGAGGCCAGGAAATTATTTGGTATTTTTGTTTTGTTGTTGTTATTTGGTTTTGGATTTTGGTTTTTGGCTTGTTGGTTTTTCAAGACAGGGCTTCTTTGTGTAGCCTCGGCTGTCCTGGACTCTTTGTAGACCAGGCTGGCCTTGAACTCACAGATAATCTGCCTGCCTCTGCCTCCCAGAGTGCTGGGATTACAGGAATGTGCCACCTCAACCAGTTTGAACAGTATTCTTAATGGAGGTCTGTTAACAAAAAGAATAAAGTCATCCTTGGTGTGGGAATAATTCTTATTCACCTGAAGTTCAAAGCAGTATAGTTCTGGTAGCCCAGGCTGGCTTCTAGTCTACACCACAGAGAATGGCCTTGAGCTCTTGGTCCTCCTGCCTTCCCCTCCTGAGTGATGGGATAACTGGCATTCATCACCGTGCCTGCCGTATTGAATCCTGAATTTCAACGGGAATATACGGGTTCAATTTTGAAGTGTCTTTCCACCCAAATAGATGACATCACATATTCATGGGAAGCCATGAATGAATGATTGTACTTGTGTTTCAGTCCTTTGAACACATTTTAAATTTCCTATTAGAACTCTACAAATTCTCACCATAGCTCCCCTGAGGCATGCAGATTAGCCACATTCACTTGAAATTAGATGGACGCTCCTCAGTGTCAGTCAGATGTCAGATGGATTTTACATATTGGAAATATCCCTTGCATTTCCGCTGACATTTTTTAAAACCCCCTTGGAACTATAGTTTGAGTTCGGAAAAATACATGGGCTACAAGGTCATGCTGGAACATTCTAACTGTCGCCAGCGTAGGGAGTGTGAGAAGCGGCTCATCATTATTTGTGATATTGGAAATGATATTAGTTGTGTCAAAATGATTTTACTACAGTATACATTTTGCTTAAAAGCCCTGTCAACTTGCAGTTTGGGGTTGAGTTCGTGACAGAACATTATCAAGTTTGTAGCGGAAGCAAGCTTCCAGAGCCGTTCATTGTCCAGGAAGAGCATACACGAGAAACTCACTTCATTCATCTAGTCCGTGTGTTATGGATTTCGTGTCTCTAGTCCCTGTTTCCTGGTTTCTTTGGGTTACTTGGGACATTTTCATATTTCATGCACCCTCTAGATCAGTGGTTCTCAACCTCCTAATGCTGTGACCCTTTAATACAGTTCTTCATGTTGTGGTGACTCCCAACTGTACAATTATCGCTATTTCATAACTGTAATTTTGCTGCTATCACGAACCATAATGTAAATATCTGATATGCGGCCTATTTCTAATATGTGACCCCTAAAGGGGTCAAAACCCACTGGTTAAGAACCATTTTTCTAAATTGTCTTTCTAGATTGTCTTGCCCTGGAAATCTGAATTTGCATTTTTAAAAATCTTTATTGTTTATTGTTGTGTATGTGTGTGAATGTGGCCACACACGAACTTATGTGGAGTTCCTATTTGGAGGCCAGAGAGCAACTCTATAGAGTCAATTCTCTCCTACCTTCCTTAGATCCCAACATCAAACTCAAGTCTCCATATCTTCAAGGTATGTGCCTGCTGAGCCTTCTCAACAGCCCTCAATTTACATCTTTAATTATCACCATTTATCTTCAAATAAAGTAACTATGGCCTGATCTGGTGATTCAATCCTTTAATCCCAGCGTTGGGAGACAGAGGAAGGCCTAGCTCTATGAGTTCAATGCCAGCCTGATCTACATAGAGTTCCAGGCTAGGGCAATAAGTTGAGACACTGTCTCAAAACACAAAAGCAAGCAAACAAAAATGTTACTCTGTTAATAACATACAAACAAAAATAAAAATTGCACAATTCCTTCTATTCCTTTCCTATTGTGATACTGCAGTTTTATATTTTGCTTCTCCTGTTAATAAAATGTACTGTACATTGCAACATTTTGATGTGTGAAAAATGTATAACTATTGTTATATGATGCCTATGTGAAAATATGTCTCTTTAATTTATGCAGATATTTCTCTTTTCCACTTTTTTTCATTATTATTCCATGCAGATTTGGCTTTCCATCTAATAACACTTCCTTTTGGCCTCAAGCTTTCTTTTCAGTGTCTGCTGGAGATGGACTTTATCAGCGTGGTCTATCCCAGCGTGTGTTTGCTTCACACTCATTTTTAAAGGATTGTTTCACTGTCCATAAACATGAAAACTGCTTGATCATTTTCCCTTTGGATTTCTTTAAAAAATATTTTCTTTTTAATATGTATGGGTGTTTTGCCTGTATGTAAGTCTGTGCATCAGGTACATGCAGTGTCTACTGAGGCTAGACGAGGTCACTGGATCCCCTGGGTCTGGAGTTACAAACTCTGGTGAGCCATAAGGGTCCTGGGAATGGAAACCAGGTCTTCTGGAAGAGCAGTCAGTGCTCGCAAATGCTGAGCCACCTCTCCAGGCCCCTTCTTGGCAATTTAAACATGTTGTTTTTCTCCTGTCTCCGTTTCCCCCCCCCCCCAAATTAAGTGTGTTTTAGTGTTTCATCCTTACTTCCTCCAGCCCCAACTACCCTGCTCCTCCCTGTATCCTACCCCTGTGCCTTCTTTTCCTTCATGTCTTTCTGTCATCCCATCCTTTCATACCACCTATTTTTCAACTATCTCTTGGTCTTGTTTTTTTAGATTTTTTTTTTTTTAGAGTTTGCCTGTATTTACAACAACTTAAATACATTACAGGCTAGGATTCACATATATGAACATGCAATTTTGTCTTTCTGAGTTTGGGTCACCTCGTTTAATGTGCTCTCCAGATCTATCCATTTACCTGTAATTTTATTATTTCATTATTTTATTTCTTCTGAATAAATTCCACTGTATAGGGGCTGGACAGATGGATTGAAGGTTAAGAGTACTCACTACTCTCAGAGGGGACCCAGGTTCAAGTCCCAGCACTCATATGGTAAGCTCACAGCTGTCTGTGACTCCAGTTCCAGGGGGTTCAGCACTGTCCTTTGACATCCATGGACACCATGCATGCCCGCGATGCACTTACAAACGTGCAGAAACACTCAGACGCATGAAGATGACTCTAAACAAAAGACCCCCTTGCATATACGTACCACATTTTCACCATGCACTCACCTGTGGATACGCATCTAAGT